TAAGCTATTTAGCCAGAATTCACACGGCCGAATCCCAGACACAGTCGCCAACAAGTCACCGAACACTGTACGAACAAACCGTTAAAACGAGGAACATGTCAAAAAAGCCTTTTCATTTGTGAAGTGTGGAGCAAAAAGCTTATTATGGATCTTCCGCGCCTATGCGCTATTCGTAGACCATTTACGCCCCAGCACAACAAAGATGCAGCGCGGCATCGCGGCAGCCGCCTGAGCGTTGCAATAGCTATTGGCCAATCGGCCATAAAACTACGATCAAGTGCAGGATTCGACAGCATAGAACAGAGGCTTGGGGTATCGCCGGCACGCCGACGCCGGCAGTTGCTGTTCATATTCGGTGCATACTCGTACATAGCGTGTGTTTATACGTTACCATGTCGTCTACGGATACAGCAATGCTTCCTCTTCAATGATATCTCCTTCCCGAAAACGTGACAAGAATGGACATTTGAATATTCTCAGGCACAAGAAATTGTCCTTAACGTTTATAAGAGCGAAAGAGCACCCTGAAATGGAAATTTATGATATTGAAAGACGTGTGGCAAACAAAACAGGCTTATGTCCTAAGACAATACGACAATTTTCAACATTGTTAAAGAATATAAAGAAAACAAAAAGTTGTCTCCACCACACAAGAGGGTGCATTACACGAAGCTGTTGGCTACTGTAGATAACAGATGGTTAATAGTGATGAAGACTACTTTCGAAAGGACCACGTTCTATAGTTTACTCAAAGCACTTCATTTTGAGTATAGAAGAGATTATTTTATGGAGAAGAAAATATTTAAAATCAATGAATAAATACCGCGACCAGGGCAGGAAGATTTATTACTTAGATGGAACCTGGATAAATGCAGGACAAACAAAACCTAAAGTAAGGGCAGACTACCGACTACCATGAAGAAATGAACTAGAAAAATTTCCCACAATGTCCAAAAGAAAGGCAGAAATTCAACAATGGCTGCTATCAAAAGACATTAGTTTCAATGAAAATATGGTAATAGCAGAACTTATTCATCTAGTCGGGCATCACAAATATAATCTTAATGTTATTGACGAAATGGCTAAAAACCAAAATAAGACTGTTTTAAGACGACCTCCTTATCACTGCGAATTAAATCCCATTGAAATGATTTGGGCAAATATAAAAAACTATGTGGCTTCAAACAATACAACATTAAAATTTTCTGTCGTTAAAAATTTGTTTTATGAAGCTGTCAACAGAATGACGGTAAACCATTGGAAATATTGCATCCGTCACGTTCAAGAGACAATCGAAACAAAGATGTGGGATCTGAACAATATGATCGATATTCAAATTGCACCTGTAATAATTAATATTAACCATTCGGCCGAGGATTCAAGTACTTCCAGCGAATAACGAATTGTGAAAAGTTTGTGCACTTCTTTCTATATATTCTATATTTATTTTGTTAGATCATTTCAAGACCATTGAGGAAAATACGGACCTGTACAATCTCGCTTTTGAGCATGTTGTGTTTTGTCTGGGCGTAAATGGACTACGAATGGGACATAGGTGTTTTTACTGATGATGAAGACTTTGTCGAAATATTAGCTATGATTCAGCGAGGAAGAACACGACGTTCCCAGTACAGCTGTAGCCCAAATCACTTTGAGCTACGATTTTTTTTAAAAAGGCTCAGATTCTGAAAGAATGGCGTGAGGTTTATTATAAACCAAATCCAAGAACAAATTCAGACAAAAACTAAAGGGTAGTTCTGTACTCATTATTACATAATTTATGTTCACCATTCAATTTTTGCCTAATGGTTAGTGAACATTTCAGTCTAATAAATTTTTGTTTCAGGAACCACCTAAAGAAGTGATTTTATGTTACTCGCGTTAAGATATTACGCCACAGAGAATTTCCTTATCACAACTGCGGGCTTCATAGGTGTGGATAAAAGTACAGCGAGCCTAGTTGTTTGGCAACTCACACAAGCAATAGCTGGACTTTACCCAACTTTCATAAGATTGCCTCAAAATGGGTATGAAATAGCACAAAATATCCATGAATTTTATAAAATTGCTAGGTTTCCAAAGTGTATTGACGTCATCGTCTGTTCCCATATTCGTATTCTATCTTCTGGTGGAAGAATGTAGATATTTTTCAAAACCTTTTCTCAGGCAATAGACGGCGCAAATAATTTGTTCCAAGATGTCGTTTGCAGATAGCCAGGGTCTGTTCACGGCAGCCATATTTTTGGCAATAGTCATGTCAAAGCAAAATTTGAACAGGGGTATTTTGCAGACGATGTTTCGATTGGAGACAGTAGTTACCCTTTGAAAAATGGCCTAAAAGCCCCCACTGGTAGGGCTGGGCTGGGCAGCTTTTTAGTGAGTCACTAACAAGAACCAGAAATTGCATAGAACGATACTGGCGAACTGGCTTTTGGAATTCGAAGTACAGAAAAGTAGAAGTACTCGTAATAGTCAGCAACAGCAGTACTTGAAAATATAGCAACTTCACTAAACATTTCTGAGCCAGCCCTTGGTCGCGAAGAAGATGCAATCAATTTTGTTAGTAGTGTAGAAATACAGGGTGTCCCCGAAATAACACGCTAGAGTGACACGGGAGGTAGATTTGGCTTCCGATCAATCAAATGACATCAACATGACCTTAGTAAAAGTTTTCTAGTTTTCGAGATATTGCCACTTTCAGGTGTTTCTCGAAAAATGCCTACTTTTTGCTCCTTTTTGCCTGTTACGACTATAAAAAACTTCTAACTTATGATTTTTTCCTGGGCTACCAGTAATGGTAGATTTGAGACAACCGAGTATTAATTTCGTTAGCTCGGCATGCTAAAAAATTATTACATTTTGTTTCAATGTGAAAACCTTTACTAAAGTTTGACTAATGACTGTGAAAAAAATGTATCAGACTGAATCGGCAAGTGATCTTGAGCATATTTAATGCTCTTTTATAAATAATATAACATCTGAAACTGCATAATATCCATAGTTGGCAGTTGGAAAATCCCCCTGAAGCGAGAGAGGACCGTTCGCAGTACCAATTTAAAATGAATATTTGAAGCGGGATCCTATTGACGAAACATTCCCTAGAAGATGAATTGGTCGACTAAGCCCAATTTTGTGGCCCCCACGCTCCCCAGACCTGAACCCACCGAATTTTTTTTTACTGGGGATGTTTAACAGGTAAGGTCTATGGAAATATCCGATTTATGTTTGAGATGTTCAAAAGGATAATTTAAGACGATGCAAGTTGTGTATAAGAAACGGTGGTACACACTTTGAAAATTTGTAGTGAAAATAATAATAATCATTTATTTCAGGCAATATTTACATTACAAGATGTTAATATCTATAATTTTCACTTAGTTAATTTAAGATATTAATAATGATTCCTAACTCTTTATTTGATTTGAATATGGTAAAATCAATGGAAATAAAAATAAACTACCTAAAACTTCATTATTTTGATGCCAGTACAAGTAGTAGATAGATTTACTTAGCACATTTGGCTACATAAACAGAATAATTGTAAACAACTTAGAATTAGTAAATTCAAGCCTTATGATGTAAATGCTGGACAAGATATAATTGTAGATTTAACAAGTGATTCCTCAATTTTACTTTAAATTTTGTCAAAGTTTTCTGGTCTTTTATCTTTGTATATAATTTATTATATTCAATCAACCCTTGATGGAATACAGATTTGTGGCATATTTTATAGTTTTTGGTCATCAAATAGAAGTCATATTTATTTCTGGTATTATGTAAATGATGGTCGGCATTTGATGATGTAAAATTCGTTAGACTTGATGGAAAAATATTATTTTTTACTTTATAAATGAATATCATTACAAGATGCTTGATAAAATGTTTTACATTGAGCATTTTAATTTGCTAAGCATTTGTCTAATTGGAGTATATCTATCTTTATTCAGTATTATCCTCATGCACTTGTTTTGTAAAATTTGCAGTCTCAAAAATAGAATTATTTGCTAAATATAGAATAGTCGAACAGTACAAGAAATTTGGAAGAATAATGGTATTATAGCTCATTTTTCTGCTATATGAACTCAGACATCCTCTTGATAAATACCCCACTTTACTACTAATCCTATTTATTACTTTTTCATAATGAATATCAAAAATTAATCGAGAGTCAACATAAACGTCCCAGGTATTTTAATATTTTCTATGAATTCAATATCTTCTCCATTAATATTCAGTTTAACATTTGTACATTGTTTTTTCCAATTAACATAGCTTTCGTTTTACTTGTATTTAATTTGAGTCTGTTAGATGCTAACTATTTTGAGACAAGTTTCAAGTCTTCATTTATATGAGTGACACCAGTCTGAATATTTTTAGTACTTATATAAATCATAGTGTCATCGGCGAAAATCTGAATTTTGCATTTTTTGACCATGGCACGTGAATCATTCATGTATAAAATAAAATATAATACAACAATGAATAAAAAATGATAATGTATAGCTGTTTTTAACATTTGCTAAAATAAAAAAGCTATTACAGCAACTATAAAGTTATTCGCAAGTATTCAGTGGCAAAAATTGGAATTATTCAGTTTTTGGTAAAGAACTTACTATTTTTGAAAGAGCATTAAATAGCTAATTTCTAAGTCGTTTGCTGATTCAGTCTGGTACATTTTTTAGTCAGACTTTAGTAAAGGTTTTCGTATTGAAAACAAATGTAATAGTTTAGTTTTTTTTTAGCATACCAATGAAATTGTCATAACAGGCAAAAAAGTAGGAATTTTTGGAAAAAAAACTCAAAAGTGACAATATCTCGACAACTAGAAAACTTTTACTAAGGTCATGTTGATTTTATCTGATTGATATAAAGCCAATCTACCTCCCGTGTCACTCTGGCGTGTTATTTCACACACCCTGTAGAGCCATATATGAATATTTTTGTAATACATAATAGAAACTCTGTCACTAGACTTCAACTAAAAGGTAATTTCAATGAAATGTAAATTAACCTTGTACTTTTATTAATGAAATATACATTACCTCACATTTATCAACATAGCTAAGAGAAAGTAGCAGTCCGCAATTTGGACAAAAAAACGTAAGGCTGTTATACCTATTATTGTGAAAGATGGTGTTCTGCTAGCTTAACAATCCTTATTCTACTTTCTCAGTTTTTGACGTAATCGATGCTTCTCTAACAGTAAAATATCTTTTTTTATTTTGTCCTGTTCCTCAATGCCTAAAATCTTAGTTTCCATGTCCAAACACTATTTCTGCATCTTCATATCTCACTCCGATTTCATTATTGCAATTTCAGCTTCACATTTTCTTTCGATAGCTTCCAGTTTCTTCTTGTGTTCATTCATGAGCTTCAGTTTTTCAGCTTCTCTCGATGCTTTTAAAGCTGCCCATTGAGATACTTCCCACACAATTTACCATATTCATCCCTGGACTTTGATTCTGAAAATAGCATGTAGAATGAGCTCATATTTACCTACTTCTTACACATTATAAAACTATTTTTATATTATTAACAAAACTAACATCATATGTGTGATTGAACATTTGAAAAATGTTTTCAAAACAAAATCAATGACCAAGAATTTGGTAAACATAGATTCCCAAAAATTTTGCTCTACTAATAATTTAGAACAACTGAAATATGCTTAATCAGATGGGTTGGGGCAAAAAACAAGTACTTACTAGGTGTTTTACAACCAGCATCACTTAAATTACTCTACAACTCTTGCGATATTGGGGTCCCGAAATTTTGTACACTGTTAAAATATTCCAAACTGGAGGCACATTTTCTTTGAAACCTTCACTCCGCTCCAAAGCTATCTCGCAGGAATCCCAATTTTCTTCTGGAATAGAGTAATCTGGTGAAAAGGCTTAATGTATGGTGGAATGACAGGTAGGTATAGGTTAAAAATCATTTTGATAAGTTTCCGCATGACCTTTATGTGATTTTTAATGCCTTACTTATATTGAACTATCTTTCTAAATCTTCTTTGTGATAGAATGTTCAGAAAAAGTGTTAAGAATGAATAACATTGTTATTATAGTCACCTGCAGTACACTCTGTGAGGATAAATTGTCGTAAATTATTGTTATTACTTCAGGATCTGAAAAGTAAGAAGTACAATACTTTAATGTACAATAAAATACACACAGAATAGTTGTCAGACACCTATAAATCAATTTTTGTACTGTGGCTGTAGTTATATCAGTCTCAAACATTAATATTGTACAATTATGAACATATTCTGTATGAATCAACATGTCTACCCATCAAATAATTATGAGTATTTATTTATTTTGATACATAAGAAATTAACAAACCCTGTGCATTAGTATCAAAATTTGAAGGAAAACCTTCAATCCTTGCCCCTAAAAGATCTCAAATTTAAAGGCTGCTTCCGTTATTTCTATAATTTTTTTGTGGTTGACCTCCCGTTCCAGTAACAAGTTTTTTCTTCCCTGAGTTTTGCCTTGGTTTTATTCATGTGTTCATATTTTTTCCTCAATGTTTGGGGTCTCTGTAACATTCTTTATCCTCAGAGTTGAACATACTTGCTATGTTCTTCCAGCACTGTTTTTTCTTGTTAATCTTGGAATCACTTCTTTTGCATTCCAAAATGCTTTTAAAATGTTTGGCCTAGCACAAAAGGAGACCATCCTCCCTTTGTAAAATTTGTTGCTTTTTTTTCTCAGACGTGATCTGGAAAATATAACACCTACAACTAGATAAATCGTAAAGCCTAGTAGTTATCTTTACTTGGGCCAAATAATATAAATAATGTTTATAAAGATAAAGCAAAATGATTTTCAGTATTTAGAGAGCCTTTTGAAGGCCAACAACAAATGCTAATGTAGTTGCGAAGTGATTACTTTTTACATTTTACACAATTTTCAGTGGTTTAAATGACTTAGTGATCTAGGACATGTTTAATTTTGAATAGCTTTCTCTGAGAAGTGTTTTCGTCAATTTCGTTATTATTAGAAAAATGTAGGAACTTACATATAAGTGCAAACTTCCTCTCAGTTATCACCTTGGAAAAAAGGTGTTTTTATTTCATTAGCATCCGTTTGAGTCCAGGCGCGAACTCTTGAACGAGGCCTGACTCAGACTAAAAATATATATATATATATATATATTTTAGTCTGAGGAGGCCTGATATTTTCATGGTTCTTGATAATGAACTGATTGGCGTACCTAGAATAAGACAAATGTAGAATATTCATAATAAGTGGAGAATAACACCATTTTACCTATTTGTTTCTTCTACTACAAGGTTTGTCAAATGCTGATTCAAGAATAATTCAAATATCTCTAAAATATTATCCGAGCTAATATCAGGAACTTTTATACCAGGATCTGAAGTGAAGGGAAAGTTAGGGTGCGGTATACCTTCTTTGGCCCAAGGTACCTCTATGTCGTCTGCAGCGTCTTCTGGGTATTCACTTTCTCATCCATTTGCCGAAGATAAATTGTCGCAGCTTGATAAATCATAGTCAGTATCAATAGAACTGATAGACAAAAGATCGCTGTTGTAATCGAATGAAGATTCACTCGCGTCAGACATTACAAAAAGGTAGCGCGCAAAACGCCTGTACTCCAGCCTATATCAGTCCTCAACTCAGCTCATTCAACAGAAAGCAGCAAGTTTTGTATACCATTCGAACGTGCGAAGAGTGGGGATTCCCACAGAACATAATAGCGACTATATTCGTATTATTCGTGAAATGAGGCGTTTAAAAAGGTGAGGCGAATATACTCGTACTACCCAACCAAGTTAGTTTATTACTTGGCGAATATATTCATCATATTCGGATAAGAGGTTAAGGAAATAAATAGATGTGAAAGTGTAAAAATGGTTGTTTTTTTCCAAGAAATAGGTTATATAATAAGCTAATATGACAGTTCCGAATACGTACTTTGAATGATAAATCAAATTCAAGCGGATAACCAAATGGAAATGGTATTTACCATTTTGGGTTGGTATTTACCAATCCGTTCAAGCGAGTGTAGTTATCAGTTTGGTTATAAGATCCGTGACGTCACGAATCAGCTGTTATATGTCATAGTTATCACCGCAAAATTGTGGTATTTTCCCAACTCAAGAGTAGTTTTATATTTCTGGTTATTATTTGAAATGTGACAAGTTAGAATTTTGCCGGGTATTGGATATTGTTATTGTACTTCAGCTTCATTTTTGAGAAAAATGATACAGGCTGACTTCAGTTTTACCATAAAGTGGAGCACCTTATTAGTTATACTCATTACGGTTGTTGGGGACACTTTAAATGTAGTTCCTATGCTTAACAAAGTATCCTGTGTAGCCATATTCCACAAGAATATTAAAATATGGCCATATAAACTCACTAGATGATATCCACCTGTATACGGTTTTGCTAATTTCTTTTTTCATCATTTCTGCTGAATCAATAAATGTTTTCTTTGACATGCGGAAAAATTTAGAGAATTGAGAGTTATCATAGCTACAAAGCCATGGTTCCATCATTAAAAAAAAATCTGAAAAAACATTTCTCCCATGAATATTATGAAAGGTTTCTTATTTAAACTTTCCATATACAGTTGTAGACGAAAAAGCACCGATTATTAAGTGATAATAAAAATAATCAGAGATTATATACGCGCTTTTCTAAAATAAACAACTTGCAACAAAACCGCGGTTAAAACCAACGCGTTCAAGCGATTCGTGTAACTGACGTCATCAACCCGTGTGTCATCTTGAACCATATTATAACCGCGGCATATAACACAGAAATTTTGGTTATTCGCTTGGATTTGATTATAGTTTCTGCTGAGTAAACTGTTTATAGGTGTGGTGTTAAGGTTTTCCAATGTTTTCTTAAAACCTCAACCTTTTTTTCAAATTTCTTCAACAACATTGAAGTTTTTGCGTTCATAATAAATTAAAGTAGAAACAATTCCAAAAACTGCCTTTTTATATTTTACAAACTTCATTTCTTGACAGATAAGAGAAATGCTGTTCATTGTTGCCAAATTTGACGTTTTGCTAGGAAAAATAAGTAAATTAAAAATCAGGGTTATTTGAAAAATAAAAGTCTTATGTAAATGGCTTGTTTTATAAGTAGTTAACCCAACATTTACTAAAAATAAGGTGAAATTGTGAGCAGTAAGTGCCTAACTAGTAAAAAATAGTTCACAACCTTAGGAACATACCCCGCTGCACTCAATCCTTTATATGCCCTCCACATATCCGTATGAATATAGAAAAAACTAACTAGTACTTTTGGGAAGGGCATACGACATTCTTCAAAAAAGTGCCTTTTGGATAAAGCTACCTTAGGGCAGGAAGTAGATTTCGGAAAGTAAAACCTGCCGGCCACACCTCCAAATCTTAATTTCATTGCAATCCTGTGCCGATTGTACATTTTTGCTCTTGGAAATAATCCCCGTTCTTTGGCCCACTCGACAGCCTCTCCCGGCTCTCTGGGCAAGGAACAAATATATGTAGCGATATATCTGCAATGAAAAGCAAACAAACCATTATAATATAGATACAATTACCTACTATATGAACACGTACTTATCCAAAAAAAGTCATCAGATATTACGAAATAAATCACAATGGTAAAAAAATCACAATGAAATTCTAGAAATTGAACGAATTTGACAAGACAAATCAAATTCTAATTCATGATTTAGCAACATTGCAACTAAACGGAAAAATTATGATAGTGATGGTGGTTTAGTGATGGGAATCCTTATCTTAAATAAAAGAAAAGATTACTTAACAATAGTTTATTTTATTCATAATGATACAAAATTGCTTTATTGCGATGAATATTGTCACAGTTCTATACAGTGTATGTTAAATTCTTATAATTTCGAGTATCATTTTGTGCAAAAAGCAAAAAAATAGCGTATAAAACAATATTCTATTCTAGAGTATTGCCACCAAAAATGCAACTTTGAAGTTCTATAAAATAGCAAGCAGAAGGTTCCTTAAAGAAAAAATGATATTTTCCTAATCTTTTTTATTTTAGAATAAGAAATGCAATATTTGCAATATGCGCGTAAGTGTTCAGCCTCCATTGGCTGAAATGATACTTTCCTAAATGTTACACCCTAATCTTTCATTTTAAAATAAGAAATGAAATATTTGCGATTTGCGCTAGTCCACCCGTCTAAGAACATACACTCCGTTTAAATGTAAACCAATTACTTAGGTATTGATGAAGGCTGCATTTATTCTAGTACAACATTGAATCTAATGTTTTTATAAGAACCATAATAATATGGAGATACTATTTCTATAGGTCGAAAACTTCATGTACTTTTCAATAGAAAATTGCACTTTAACCAGTTGTTTATGGCCGTATCGTCACTCGTTCCTACAATTCTAGGACGCCACTATGGCCTCCTTGATTGTAATAGTTTTCTACTTTTTCGTGTCAGTGCTATATTTTGAGGTTATGTCACAAATATCTATTTGCATTAAATTGTTCATGCTTTTGATTTATATGATGTCTTATCAGCCTGAAATTTCCTACAATTCAAAAAGAAATTTTTGAAGGAAAGAAAAGACTATGACAATCAAGGATGCCATAAAGGCATCCTATGATTATTGTAGGAACGACTGACGATACGGTCCTTAGCTACAAGATTCAAAACAGGTTAAAAAAGGTTCTGTGTATATAATTATTACTTTACGTAAAATACTTCGCCAAATTCTAATGCACCTATTTATATACAGATACTAATATTCAACCTTACCTTTTTAAAATATGGAAAGACCGCATTTGATAGTTCAAATTTACGGAAATAAATGCACTGCACACAATGCAAGCAAAGGTGAACAACACAAATTTTGCCTCTTAATGGCGACACTAAATAAAACGTTGACGATCTATTGTCACCACTGTCCCTACTATAAAGCCACTGTAGGTATAAGTCCTTGTATATGGCTTACACCCTCAGAGCTGTTTTCCAGTGGTTTTTGGTTTGAGACACAAGTATACACAGGTTTGAGAGTGTGAGTGATACGCTCGCAAAACAATGCGAATGCTTGAGAATACAACGTGCAATGAAGAGCATTTAGATAAAGATAGAACATCCCGAGGTCACGTGTGCCGGTAATGCAGTTTCCTAGATTTTGCCTGGACCTGACCTTGGTGTTGCCAGTTTGCCCATAAGACGTTTCGCCCCCCTGAGTGGAACGGCACGGGTATTATATAAAAAAACCTACAAAACGTCAAGAAAAAAAAACAATAAAATGTCATCTTGCAGACTAGGTAGTTTTTAGGATGCAAATAGTTCATTCCACGTTTGCTCGTTATGACCGATGTGAGCGTCCATCTATGGAGGAATCACTCAACTACAACACCACTGTTGGTTGCGTATGTTTTGTGAAGCCGAGTAGTCTGTAGTTATCATCCCTGAGAAGAATGTTGGTTGAATAGCAAGATCGCTTCTGGATGATTATGCGTAGGTATATATATATATATTTGCTGTGCCCAAGGGGTTATTTTATATGTTGTCCTTTCTGAAGACAGGTTGTGTTCAAAGTTATAAATTACGATTTTTCTCGTTTTTTGTGTTTTTAAAAACTTTGAGGAGCATCACGAGAAATCGCCACTGCGCCCGCGTTGTGGGTCAATTAAGCCAAATCACAGAAAAATTAGCAATGACGCATCACACATCAAACATTTTCGAAATGTCTCACATCTAGGCGCTGATTTGTATTTTCTATTGAGATCGCAAAATAAGTTTCTATAAAATTTACATGACTGGAAATACAAAATAATGTAACAACCTTTTCACTTTCATAAATATTCCTGTCTGTAGCATATTTTCTCACCTGTTATTCCTTCACCAACCAGGATTTTCTTTTCTTATCTCCCTCATTTTTAAAATTCTGCAAATTTGCATATGTAATTTGCAAAATGAATAAGAAAAAGTGGATGATGCTCAACTAATTTCTAGCTTTGAATCTCAAGCAAGTGAGTTTGAGACAAGAAACCAATGGAATTATCATCAACATATATTTTTAGCACACAAATAATCTTCACTATGCTCTGCCGTTTCCTTCTAGCTTAGACCTCCAGTAATTCTATCTTTGAAGCAGATTTTACACCACATCAAAACCAAACATTGATAACTGAAGCATCATGACGTTTAGGTAACACGTAAAACTACAAAACCACTTCACAACGTGTCCATCAGCTAGTGCTAAGTTAACATCTTGTCTCAGAGTAACTCAACAGGGCCACTCGAGTGCAGCTCAGAGCTGGTTTCAAGTGAAAGCTTACTTTTGTGAAAAACGATGGGATATCATTTCGTCAGTTCATGTTGAAAAAATGAAATCTTTTATTAATTAACGTAAATAAAGATAATTTCCCGAATCACACACTCTTTTGCTGACCAAGGCTGCACTATCTATAATTATATACAAAACGTACATTTTTCCCGATGAATAAACAAACATAAACTTTATAAAACTTACAAAGCACGCAGTACCTATCCATATAAATTATTGCTTATCCGGTTTTATTATCATTTAAAGTTTCTATGTGAAGTGTGTAAGAGGTGCGGTAAAATGGAAATTGTGAGAAGATTGACGAAAATTTTACTGGATGGACAGGTAGGTGGGAAGATTTTTAAGTCATATCTACCAATCACCAATATGCTACAAAACTGGCATTCTCAGCTCCTACGAGTTGTTTTATGGTACTCATTATCAAATAAGGCTTTTATATAGGTAGATAATATCCCAAAATAAATTCGATATTACCAGTGGTGGAGTTAACGGGAAAACGAGAACAGGCACTAGTAGTGTGCTATCTTAATAAGGAAAATACCAAAAATGATTTACATGACGCTCCAACAGTTATTAGGCCTAATCGTACTACAGCTGGAAATACCGCATACCTGCTAAACTAAATTAGGGTTATACAGGGTGATATCGACAAAAGACGCGTTTGTGACGTGAGTACATACCTATAAAACTAAAAAAATCGCATAACCTGAACGAAGAGTTGTGCCACCAACAGACTTATTTATGTTGTAGAGGCCTCATAGGAGTACATGCTGATGGCATAGCTTTGCGAAAAATCGGGATGATACTGCGCATGATGGCACAATAATTATTCGTTTGGGTTCTGCGTTTCTTTCTGTTTTAAGGGGTCAACCGTTGTATGCGCAGAATCACCCTGTAGTCCCTAGATGTACTCCTATCAGGTCTCTACAACTGGTATGAGTTTGTTGGTGGCACAATTCTTCGTTTGGATTCTGCGGATTTTTTTCTGTTTTGAGGAGTTAACCCTTGTACGTTCAGAATCACCCTGTGGTCCCTGATTTTTCGCAAAGCTATGCAATTAAGACGTACTCCTATGAGGTCTATGCAACATGTATGAGTTTGTTGGTGGCCCAATTCTTCGTTTGGGTTTTGCGATTTATTTCTGTTTTAAGTCTTGTTTAAGTCTTGTATGCGCAGAATCACCCTGTAGTCTCCTGATTTTTCGTAAAGCTGTGCCATCAGGATACTAAAACGTTTTTAAATTGGGTAATTAACAAATAAATGGCATTGAGTTTTTCTAAGTTAAGCCAAAATTTGTAGTCAGTAAGAAAGTAAGTTTCATTGAATTGAATATTTAAAACACACTTGACAATCTCGCGTCGCCCATCATCACTCTTAGTGAATAGGCAAACGGTAACAGTGGTTAGTTATCCTTTTGCATAGTTTTGCGGCGTTGTCAGATTTATTTTACTTTAAAGTCGCTTTTCTCAAAAAAATGCCGTTTCGACCCCCATGTTATATGAAACTTTTTGCTTCTTTTAACCCTCTCTATCACCCATTTAAATAATGACTATCATAACGTTTACACCCTGTATGTATCTACTCTCAACACAAACGTGTCGTTTGTCGTAATCACCCTACATAACTCTAATTTAGTTTAACAAGTATGCGGTATTTAAAGCGATAGTACAATTAGGTCTAATAACAGTAGGAGCGTCATGTAAGAAATCGTTTTGGAATTTTTCCTATTAAGATAGCACACTATATTGCCTGTTCTCGTTTTCCCGTTCACTCCATCACTGGTAATATCGAATTTATTTTGGGATATTATCTACCTATATAAAAGCCTTATTTGATAATGAGTACCATAAAACAACTCGTAGGAGCTGAGCATGCCGAATTTTGGAATATTATTTAGAATAATTTGTTTAAAAGCCTTATCTGATAATGAATAACATAAAACAATAACCATCAGGAGCTGAATATACCGGTTTTCGAGCATAGCGGCGATTTGAGCTCAATACTGAACTGCTAGACTGAAATTTCATGATATTCGAATCTGAAGCTAACTTCAGGGACGTATATTTACATTATACCATCTATATAATATACATGGTAGGGTCCTTTTTGCCACTATTGATACATGTTCACCGAGATTCAATATTTTTCACTATTTTTCAGTTTTTTCGCTTTTATTTCCTAGCTTTTGATAATAATTTGCAGAAAAGTATAGGATACGTTCAAACATAAAACCTGTTCAAACATTCAAGCCCATTGAATTCAAGAATAGTGTAATTTATGCTTGTTATGTTAGTCTACCTTGCATCTTTGCATTAGTCAAGGTTAAAGATGGATGTATTTTTGTTCGATCATCCAATAAACAAATGATTTGTCAACCATGGCACATCATGGGCTAACGAGGCCACACCTCTTTTCCGATTCACTCACTATCAAAGTAACCGTCTGTCAACTTGACAAGTAACAAAGTGACAGTTATTTAAATTTTCCGTTAAAAATACAGACAGGTAGTCATTTTTGTAACCTGTTGGGTTTTCCATTTTTCTTCATTAGAAACTAATTTACAGCGTTTTTTTCGCAGAAGAACATCGTCCAGACGCCATCAAAAATGTTAGGTGTCTTGCAGAAACCAGCATATGACAAGGTAACAATAGAAATCACAGTAGATAAACAACAAGAGAATGAAGAAAAAACATGCAACGTTACTTATAAAGAACACGTTGAATCGGCAAGAAAAGCATGTCGCGAGCACGAAGAATATCAGTATTTGAACCATATAAAGAAGATATTGGATAACGGGGTTAAAAGGGGAGATCGTACAGGTGTAGGTAAGAATTCGTAAATCTTTTTCATCCATATCAAACATGCAACACTTCGCAGAGTTTGCCAGTTATCCCCAGATTGTAGGAACGCTCTAGCATAACTTGTAATTGTCATAATTAGCTTGTTGCATGAAACAAGAAAAAAAAAATGGGACAGAGGGACACTGGAAAATAGTTACCACTAATTTAATACCTAGTAGTAGTTGAAAGATTTATTTAGCACCTTTGGCTATATAAACAGAATACTTGTAAACAACTTAGAATTAGTAAAATTAAGCCATATAATGTAAATGCTGGGCAAGCTATAATTGTAGATTTAACATGTGATTCCTCAATTTCTCTTTGAATTTTGTCATAGTTGTCTAGTCTTTCATCTCTGCATACAATTTATTATTACATTCAGTGATGGAATACAGATTTGTGGCATATCGACGATCTCAAATCTATATATATATATCTGTGCCTTAGAGGTAAATGATCGTAACTCCATTTTTGCAGTTTTTGTGATTATCTACGTATAATTAGTATCACTGGTTAATCTTTACGTGGAGTAAATGATCGTAGCGCCTAATCATGATAATCATGAAATATATGAAATAGAACAAGCAGCTAGTGATTTTTTGTTAGAGGTAAACAGTCGCTTCTCCATACAATACAATACTAACGTATGAATCATCGTTACGCAGCGGTAAACAGTCGTGCTTTACAGACTGTGTTGTTCATTCATTCTTCAAAGTTGATCAAGGTGCTTAAGTAACAAAAAAACGGTAATAATGTCCTCAAGCACTCAAAAAATAGTGCAGCTTGCACTGTAGGAGGAAATCGATTCTCGAGAATCAAGTAAGTACAACATAATTGACCTTATAGGTGTCCGAGCCAAAACAGGAACATTATGATGATACATACATATACATATTACAAATAATAAGTCCTTCATTAAAGTGTATCATTCACAAGTTTCTTCTATGTGGACACACACAAATGGAAGCTGATCATATCCATGCACTTATCGAACTAGTTATAAAAAACAACCAACCATGAAAATATGTACGCCATGGGATTGGCAGCAACTTATAAGATCAACCGGAGCCACAGTTTTCGAGATGCAGTTAGATGACATCAAGAACTTCAAGGCTTTATATTCCGGCACGGGATCACCTCTCATTCAAAAGAAACATACAGTAGACAAAGAAAGCTTTTTAGTGTTATCAGCGGTGTGGCTTGAGGTTCGAAAACAGGATCCAGGGATACTCTACTATAAAACAGACATATTCCAAGAGGACTTAGCAAGAAAAAGCACGATCATCTTCTCATGCTTCTGCAATGGATACCAGAAGCATTACATGATTTTTATAAAAATATTCCTGTGCTGGGTCAACAAGGAGATGATGACGACGGCGACGATTGAATATATACTCTCCAGATGTCATTTTTTGTAATAATAAAATGTAGCCAATTTCCACCAATTGTACTTGCTGTGTTTCATCCTATGCTGCACCTGGATTTTATTATCATAGTAAATAGTCATAACTCACAAAATAATCTGAATATCAAATTCTAAGATCATTAACATGAAGCATAACTGTTTGGTGTACGATATAATATGTTTTCCCAAACCCAAACAACTATATTCGCATATTAACAGTAACATGAACAAAAAGCCATTCTGCTACTAACTCAATCTTTAATTTGCTTGTTCTCTGAATTGCATTATATGGAGTTACAACTATATACCTCTATATATATATATATATATATATACTTATTAAGTAAGTTCTTTTAGTCAAATTTCTTTTGAAAGTAGTACAAACTAATCTGATGTACCTATTAAAGTCTATTTTAAGCTTTAAATCAATAAATCTTCGAAACTACTGAACTGAAGCTCATGTATTTTACATCATTATAAACGGAATTGAAATACCTTTAAAATAAGGCTTTCCATTTAAGATTTTAGGGTTGGTGTCACCCCCGCCCAGGGGGCTGCACGTGTTAACGTGATTTTTTGCCAAACTTGTGTCCCTCTCGAAAACAAAATCGACGGGTCTGAGCGTTTTTCAAAAAAAAAAACTGAGCTGCCAGTAAATGCGTGTTTCGTTTTCGATGCGCCACCCTGTATATATATATATCTATTTTGTTCTGTTTTAATGTTGTATGGCATACAGTAATCAAAACAGAACAAAATCAGAAAATCAACATTTTCGGACATAGGAGGTATTGTTTTGGGATCATCGATATGTTATACTTTTTAGTCATTGAATGCAAGTCATCTTTATTTCTGGTATTAGGTAAATGATGGTCAGCATTTGATGATGTTAAATTATTAATAATGGTGGAAATATATTGTTTTTCTTTATAAATGAATATCATTACAAGATTTTTGATAAAATGTTTTACATTTAGCCATCTTAATTTGCTAAGCATTTGTCTAATTGGAGTATATTGATATGGTAATTTTTTTTTAAATTTTGGTCACTCCTGTTTTTTTTGGCTACACACTAAAGTTATAATAATATAATAAAAAATATACAAAAAAGTTTCAGGAGGTTTTGCACATTTGACTCTTTTGTATAAATCAAATTCAAGCGGATAACCAAATGGAAATGGTATTTACCATTTTGGGTTGGTATTTACCAATCCGTTCAAGCGAGTGTAGTTATCAGTTTGGTTATAAGATCCGTGACGTCACGAATCAGCTGTTATATGTCATAGTTATCACCGCAAAATTGTGGTATTTACCCAACTCAAGAGTAGTTTTATATTTCTGGTTATTATTTGAAATGTGACAAGTTAGAATTTTGCCGGGTATTGGATATTGTTATTGTACTTCAGCTTCATTTTTGGGAAAAATGATACAGGCTGACTTCAGTTTTACCATAAAGTGGAGCACCTTATTAGTTATGCTCATTACGGTTGTTGGGGACACTTTAAATGTAGTTCCTATGCTTAAGAAAGTATAATGTGTAGCCATATACCACAAGAATATTAAAATATGGCCATATAAACTCACTAGATGATATCCACCTGAATACGGTTTTGCTAATTTCTTTTTTGATCATTTCTGCTGAATCAATAAATGTTTTCTATGACATGCGGAAAAATTTAGAGAACTGAAGGTTATCATAGCTACAAAGCCATGGTTCCATCATTAAAAAAAAATCTGAAAAAACATTTCTCGCATGAATATTATGAAAGGTTTCTTATTTAAACTTTCCATATACAGTTGTAGACGAAAAAGCACCGATTATTAAGTGATAATAAAAATAATCAGAGATTATATACGCGCTTTTCTAAAATAAACAACTTGCAACAAAACCGCGGTTAAAACCAACGCGTTCAAGCGATTCGTGTAACTGACGTCATCAACCCGTGTGTCATCTTGAACCATATTATAACCGCGGCACATAACAGAAATTTTGGTTATTCGCTTGGATTTGATTATAGAGTGCTCTAGTGTCAACTAGATCAATTCCGTATTGTTTAAGAAAATACTAGAAGCTAGTTGAAATTTGAGACATGGCTTAGTTCAAATAGAATCTCCAAGAATTGTTAATCAAAAAACTGAATTTCCAATTTCCAAAAAATTACAATCTCTCCAAAAAATGTCTTGACAGTGCCAAGTAATTAAAATTGAAAACTTTTGAAAAACGATGTTTAGGACTGTTCAGAAATTTTTCAATTTCTGCTCAACTATATCATCACTAACTCAAAAAACATATTAGTCTATCTGGGATTATTGACTATTGTAGGCTCATAGTAAGAAATTTTATTTCTGTTTATAAAAAATTCAAATAGGCACCTACTCCATCTTCGGAGCTCAGATGCGCTACACTCTTGGAGATGAAACCTTCCCCTTGCTGACCACAAAAAGAGTGTTTTGGAGAGGTGTGGTAGAAGAACTGCTATGGTTTATCAGAGGAAGTACAAATGCGATTGAACTCAGAGAGAAAAAGGTCCACATCTGGGATGCAAATAGCACCAGAGAGTTTTTGGATTCTGTAGGACTTGAGGACAGAGAAGAGGGTGACTTAGGCCCAGTGTATGGATTCCAGTGGAGGCATTTTGGGGCTGAGTATAAAGGAATGCATACTGATTATACTAATAAAGGTAAATAGTTCCAGTGTATATGGAAACAAATTTAGAATTCTGCTAGGACCTACTGGCGGGACCAAACAATATCATTTCCACTAAAACTCGACTCTATGATGTTTAAGGTTTTTATGTTGGGCATATTCAATATCTATGTGCCAAAATACCCAGTTGCATAAAAATTTATCTTGTCAGGAAGGAGGTCCAAAATGAAAATATAAGTAGATATCATGAGAAAATTTACCACAGCCACAGGTGCACTTTAAAAAATGCCATCAGGGATGCAAAAAAGAAGGTAATTTTTCAATCCAATACATGCGGATTAGTTTGGCAGCCAGCAAAACATAATCGACAACACAGGGCTACATACAATTTTCTTACTCTTATATGAGTAGAGCATTAAGGGGTCTTATGGGATACTCGTATTAAAAAAACAGTTTATGTATTATTTGGAAAACAATCAGTTTCATGGATAAATCGGGTGCGTCCGACGGCAGTTTGGCACTGGGATCTTCAGGTTTTTTCCATACTGAAGCAGCAGCGTCGGCAGCAACCTAAATACCAGAGGGCGCCGTGATACAAGGAACTTAAAGACGCCTTGTTAATCTGATTTGTGATCTGCTCAAGGCAGAACTGAGAAAAACTTTCTCAGACGGCTTGTTCCACAATCTCGACACCGTAGGAACAAAGGAGCGGTCGTACTGTCGAGTTCTCGATGTACGAAGTTCGAGAGAGTTACAATGGGGGCAGAAGCCTGGCGGATAGGTCTGGCTCTGAGGAGCAAAACCCGTTGACATACTGGTAGAAGAGACCAAAATCGCTGATCGCCCGTCGGTCTGAAAAATGTCTGCCGGCGACCCATTTCCTCCCGAAATTCAGCGCCTCAAGTTACTTGCGTGCACAGTTTCATTCACTTTTAACAGGGGCCAAAAGGCGTGAGAAATTATATAAAGTTTGATCTATCAAAATAAGTAATTGCTAATGTTAATGTTTATTTTAAGGTCAACTAATACAGACAAAAGTTTATTGAAATATCTGGGTATCACAGTTATTTACCGATATCACTGAATTTAAACACTAGATGAACCAGATTTATGCACCTTTCAATCGCATCTTAATGAAACATGAATACAAAGGTCAAAAAAGTGCTGTAATTACTGATTTATTAGAAAACGTGATCATATAATGTACATAACGAATTTAAAAGATATGACAAAGATAACAGATTTTTATATACAGGGTGATTCACAAGTCGTGACCAAAAATGAAACATCATACACAGGACCCCGTTTTGAGGGGGTCTTCTATGTAACATGTTTTCCTCGAGGTCTTCAATAAAAAGATACCGGGTGTTGAAGTTTAAAAATAAAAAACAATTTTATCAATATCTTCAAAACCGTCAACTGGAATGAACTAAAAATTGGTATGTGGATTTACCTAAGTATTATCCACATTCAAAAGTCTTTACTTAAAATTAACGTGCATCAGTGGCGGAGATACAGGGAATTAGTGGCATTATTTTTCCAAATAAAAATAGTACGCCACTGTTTTTTTCCAAACGTGCAATTTTTCGAATTTTACCTTCAATTTGCTACAAATAATTACTCTTGTTTTTTCATAGATTGCATTGTTTTCCTAAAAATTAAAAAAGAACAAATTAGACAATCAAAGCTTTATTTCAATAAATGTTCAAAAAGACCACCATTCTGACGGATCTTTTTAATAAAGAGAAACATAGTTCCGCAAAATCTGTTGTTAGTTTGAATTTGATGAAACACATTATCTATTCTTGTTGTAACTGACCCACAGTATTAATTTGGTCAGCATACACTAATTGTTTAAAAGCGCCCCACAAAAAATCCAGGGTGTTCAAATCGGGAGACCTCGCAGACCATAGTATGGGTTGGTTCTGCCAATCCATTGGTTATGTCACGACGAACATGCGTGCTGATACCACATTCGTACTCTCATGGCAATGGCAATACGTGCATAAACAGTTGGCCAGTGAAAATGCCGCAGCAGACGTTTCTAGAAAATCTGTGTTGAAACGAATGGATTCTTAACGACCAAATATGTTCATTATGAGAACTAACGGTTCCACTCCTCTTAAAAAGCTATTCATCTGACCACAAAACCAAATCAATAAAATCTGCATTTTGATTATGTATTTGAAGTAACCACTCACAAAAATTTCGCCGTTGCACTTCGTCGCCGGGTTGCAGGCATTGTACATTTTGCCGACGGTAAGGATGTAAAACCGAGTTAAAATTCTCCACGCAAGACTGGGAACATGGTAACTGGACTGCAATCCACCTTGTACTAGGATAATCCAACGCCAAATTAATCACTTCCAGTTCCTCTTGAACATGGCATCTATCTCCGGAAAGTTTGGCAATTCCATATTGCCGAAGTATTAGAAATGGACGCGTAAAAACCTTTGGGGTAGGTTGGCGACTGTTAGGAAATGTACGTTGATACTCCCAAGAAGCCGCTAAAGCATTTCCATTACAGAACCCTTACATAAAAATAATGTCGGCGTACTCATCATTGCTAAATTCCATTTCACAACACTCAAAAATGGAGAAAAGAAACTTTCGACTTGACTTTAAAAAAATATGGTAGTAATAATAACCGTATAACACATAACTTTGACAAACTATCTCCCAAGAAACATCAAGTTGGTATCAAGGCCTCCTATTTTATTTTGGAACTAATTGTACCTTGGCTCTTCATGAATGATATAATTTGTTTTATTTTGATTTGTACGAAAACAGTGCACTCTAGAAAAAAACAGTTACACTAATCCGCTGTATCTCCGCCACTGGTGCACGTTAATTTTAAGTAAAGACTTTTGAATGTGAACAATACTTAGGTGAATCCACATAATTTTTATTCATTCCAGTTGACGGTTTTGAAGATATTAAAAAAAATTGTTTTTATTTTCAAAATTCAACAGCCCGTATCTTTTTAATGAAGCCTTCCAGGAAAAAATGTTACATAGAAGACCCCCCTTAAAATGGGGTCTTGTGTATGATGTTTTATTTTTGGTCATAACTTGTGAATATTTATATTAAAAACTTGTCAATCAATTACCAATTTATCAGAATGATATGTCATGCAGATATGTGCACAATAGTTAATATTAGGAAGACAAAACCTCATATTGAATTGAATATTCAATTAAAATGTCATGTGATGCAGTTTCACGTTCACCGAGTCATAAATGAAAGATATTACAATTTCAATATTAATGACAACATGATTTCTAGTATTTTCAAATAACATTGGTATGATCTCAAGGACGGAATATTTTGATATTTCAATAGAAGAGTTTAGTATATTCAGTCAGGTTGAGTCTCTATGTAATTTTTTTTTAGCCTTAGCCCTCTTATAATTTATGAAATTTAAATATATTTTTGAAGTAATTTTTTTACTGAGAAATGATATGGTCTGGTAGCGAAACTGGAAAGAGCATCAGAGCACATCGTACGCCAATGTTAATGTAGTAGCATACAATAATACGTACAATAGGTTATGCTTCTCTCTTCCATTTTATATCCGAGTATAGTTAGTCCTTTTCATTTTATCCTGGCGAAGCAATTCAAAACAAAGGCTGTGCCTTTTGAACAACAACTCTCATAATGATTTTCTAAATTGTGCCTGTTATACATATGTATGAAAGCTAATGGTGTATGGATGTTATATTGATTTTGTAAAAATTTACAAAATCAGTTTTTTTAATTGGTTAGTCATATTTATAGGAATCCTATACCTACATCTGTGGTCTATGCGCAATAACAAAATATAATTTTTCTTATTTGTTATTATATGTTTAAGGAGTACCTGTGTACTCGTGTTGTGTGTGCACGCCCAATAGATTTTTTTTTTCATTTTCCTACCGACTTTGTCCTTGAATCTACCGATTTCGTACTTTTCGGTTCAGCAACACTGCTGGGCATGCCAACATTCCGTAAAAAAAGGGCTTGATGGATTTTGGTATTTGCGGAGTCGTTCGATTCGTCTTGATAGCACAACTGAAAATTAATTCGTTTTATTTACTGCAGTTGGGAGTTTTGTATTTTTAAAAAATGTACTTGTTTTATTCATTCTTCTCATCTAACTTTCCCTAAAGAATGATTGAACTTTTGGGCTTGGACTATGGACTGATTTTTGGTATTATTTTACAGGTATCGACCAACTAGCCCATGTAATCAATACAATAAAAACAAGACCAACCGATCGCCGTATTATAATGTGTGCTTGGAACCCGTTGGACATCCCTGAGATGGCTCTACCTCCCTGTCACTGCCTGTGTCAATTCTTTGTGGCCGACGACGAACTTTCCTGTCAGTTATACCAACGTAGTGCTGACATGGGTCTAGGTAGGTCGATTTAATAAAAAATAAATAAGTTTGAGGTATTCTGGCTTTTGGAAGTAAACATTGCTGGAAGCAGGATTTAGTAATTAAGCTTTGGCTGGCCACTCTGGGATTTTAATGCTGATAAATCATCTAGTTTCACGTTTACAAAGCCAAGCATGGCGAGCTTTGAAATGGAATATCTGTGCGAGTTGTAAATAAGGGTCTCATTTAGAGGTTAATTTTTTCAGCAGCCTGAATGACATTCCTTTTTGATAATTATTTTTTAAAATGTTGGCAATCACTGCGGGTAACGTGATCCGTTGTGCATTTGGAGCAATATTTGGCAAATTATCAGAGTAATCCTGGCGTCTAATTTTTCAATCGTACTTTCTTATCTAAGTTTACATAACCCCAATGGTCAAGAGGTGCGAAATCACACGATCTAAGCGGCCAATTTATCGGTCCGAAAACGAGAAATTAGCTGCATTGTTGTCCCAATCCAGCCATAGTTTAACGGGGTGTGCTGCAAGTAGCACTGCGTGGCATTGATGGTACCAGATAATCTGAATATTATGGGCTTGAATGCCAGGTAGCAAATAGTGTGTTATCACGGCGCGAAATGCCCCCAAATGCTACTCGAAATGCTTGGAGGCGCAATAGAAAATAATTATTCTAGAATAGATCACATGGATCTCACCAGATGGTAATACTGCCAATAAAACTGACCACGTACGGATCGAAAACAAGTATGCCTGCAATATACACAGCTATGCTGAATGACGTAAGCTGCAGCGTCAGCGTAGCTAGAGGCTGACCTCAGGGCGGAGTTCTGCCACCCCTACTGTGGTGCATCGTAGTGAACGAACTCCTCGTTAGGCTCAGCAGTGTGGGTGTCTACGTGCAAGGTTATGCTGATGACGTAACCATAGTAGTTAGGGGACGTTTTTGTAGAACAGTCTCGGAAATTATGCATGGCACTCTTCGCTCTGTGGAATCGTGGTGTAGGGAAGTCGATCTTTCTGTTAATGCTGAAAAGACCGAGCTGATCCTATTCACTAGGAGAAGAAGGCTTGACGGGCTGGTCATGCCGACCTTCTTTGGGACTAGATTAATTGTATCCCAATCAGTGAAATATCTGGGAATTATCCTGGACTGCAAACTGAACTGGAGAGAGCATGTTGAATACAAGGTTAGCAAGGCTCGCAATTCAATGTGAGCCTGTAGACGTATTGTCGGTGTAAGGGGGGGGCTTAAACCCAAACTGGTATACTGGCTCTACACAACGATAGTACGTCCATCTCTCTTGTACGGCTCCCTGGTCTGGTGGCCTCGCATTAGAACTGAGACAACTAAGGTCAAACTCAATAAAATTCAGCGTTTGGCCTGTATTAGCATTGCAAGCGCAGTGCGAACAACGCCATTGAGTGCAATGGAAGCTCTGTTGGATCTCCCACCATTGGATCTGGTGATCCGCGGTGAAGCGAGAGTAGTCGCTCATCGACTGTGGGGTCAGGGCAGCTGGGCTTTCTTGAATCCTGTCAAGGGGCATACTGCCATCTTAGTCGAATTGCAAAGGGAGGACCCCGTCCTTCTAAGCAGGGGTGATCATATTACCCCTAAATATCGCTACCTCCGCAAGTTTATTGTGGAGTATCCAACGAGGGAGGAGTGGGACGCCGGTAGCCGGAGACTCTCCGGAGTGAACGGGCAGGTCTGGTACACGGACGGCTCGGTCACCGAAGAGGGCTCAGGTGCTGGGGTCTCTGGGCCTAGAACTAGGCTATCTCTGTCTCTCGGTGGGTACACCACTATTTTCCAGGCGGAAATCTTTGCGATTCTGGCTTGTGTATCTCACATTCTGGAGGAGGGTGGGCCTATGAGAAGAATAACAATCTTATCCGATAGCCAGGCTGCAATGAAAGCACCAAGTGCCTGTAAGATTACTTCGAGTCTTGTATTGCAATGCAGGGAGGCTCTGGATTGCCTCGCAGCGAGGCATCCGGTATCGTTAATGTGGGTACCGGGGCACGCTGGGATAAGGGGCAATGAGACGGCGGACACGCTGGTGAAGACAGTATCAGCCAGCAAGCTCGTTGGACTTGGAAGTATGATCAGATATATATGGAATCAAGAGGAACTACCAGATGAATGGAAAAACGCCGTAATCTGCCCAATACACAAAAAAGGTGATAAAAGTTCATATGAAAACTATAGAGGCATTGCCCTATTAGACACTGCATATAAGATACTAGCATTTCAACTAAGGGACAGATTGAGCATATATGAAAATGAGGTTATAGGTGAATATCAAGGAGGTTTTAGAAGGGGCAGGTCCACAATAAACCAAATATTTACACTGAAACAGCTGTTCTATAATAGCTGTGAACAAAATCTTGGTTTACACACATTATTTATTGATTTCAAGTAAGCGTATGATTCCATTGACAGAGAAAAATTATATGAAGCTATGAGACAGCTAGGACTACCAAGTAAACTGATAAGGTTAGTCAAAATGACAATGAACAAAGTCACATTGGAAGGGAAAACGGCTAGAACTTTTTGCGTAACGAGAGGCCTGAGACAAGGGGACCCGCTATCTACAACATTGTTTAACTTTACGCTGGAAGCTATTTTACATGATTGTGGTATACAAACCGACGGAGTTGTTTACTATAGAAAACATCAGTTGATTGCTTACGCCGATGATATAGCAATAATAACCAGATCCAAAGCAGAACTTGAAAAGACGTTTAGAAGGTTAGAAGAAACTGCCAAACGTTTTGGGCTTCATATAAATGAAGACAAAACAAAACACCTAGAAATGAGAGGAAGCGACGAAGGAAAGTTAACAATAAAAAGTAGTTGCAGAGAATACTATTTTGAGAAGGTGAATCAATTTGAATACCTAGGGGTCACAATAACAGATAAAGCAGAAGAAGATTTAGAAATTGAAAAAAGAAAAGCAAAATGGAGTAGAGCAATAAGAGCTTTAAGCGAGATAATAAAGACACGGTGGATATCAAGGAAAACAAAGGAAAGGATATATAAATCGGTTATCCAACCATCAATACTTTATGGCAGTGAAGCTTGGCCAGAAAAACGTATAGAAATTGGAACGCTGGGAAAGAAAAATGTTACGTAAAATATATGGAAGCACAAAAAAAAACGATGGTACATGAAGAAAGCGAACTAATAAAGAACTGATGGAGATGTATAACCAACCCAGTATAATACAAAAAACCCGAGCTCAAAGAGTGCGCTGGCTAGGACACGTTTACAAATTGCCGTCTTATAGGAATGCCAAAAAAGTTTTGTTTGGAGGAGAAGGCAGTAGAAGAAGAAGAGGAAGACCGAAGAAGCAGTGGCTGGAAAGTGTCAAAGAGCATATATGAAGACTAGGCATACCAGACTGGGAGGAACAGACCAAAACAGAAAAGCGTGGAAAGAAGTTGTCAAAAAGATAGAAGCTATGGGCCTTTAGGCCTGAAACGCTGAATTATATATATATATATATATATATATATTATATATCACATTAACCACATTGGCCGCACTAGCAGCCAACATAGGTCTATTCGTGGATTTTGGCGGTTCACAGTAAAACTACAGGAATTACTTTCACACATCCAACTTCCTCACATGCGCGGACATTTGTGTAAGTTCAGACAGTTTTTTAGATTTGTCTCACCGCCTTGAAAATGTTTTCGTCAACGCATGAGTCTTCCACATTTACGCTTGTCACCGAAAACTTGCTTCGTTCGCGTGCGATTTTAAGTTTACCCTTTGTTGATCTTCGATATAAGACGTGGCAAGGGTTGTTTGAAGATACAACTACAATCTCGACAATATCTGTGTTCAAGTTCTTTGGCCATAATATACAAGTTTTCTTATAATCCCTGTTTGACGTATATTATATTTGTACGTTCAGCGCTTAGCATGGCAATTTATTGGAGTTTTTTTCGGCAAGCGAGTGAAAATAATGGTCCCAGATCACCGTATTCATGTCCCCGATAGCAAGAAATATTCATTGATAATTTTAAAGAAATGCTAGCTTAATATTTGTAGCGACATATTTTTTAATATTTAATAAATAATTTTTTATATATTCATAAAATATTCATTATAGTTATTTTGGTATATATAATTAATATATTTTCGCGATATTTTAGAAATATTCAGACAATATATTATAAGGAAAGATTTTCAAGTGTTTTATATTTTGATGAAATATCTGATGTTTTTCGTAAATATTTAGGAAATACATGAAGCAACATATTTTAAAGCGTTAATCTGACATGTACGTACATATTAGCCATTTTATTCTTGAAAATGCTTCATTGGTTATTTTATCAAAATCTGTAACAATACTTTTCAAAATTGGGTTTATAAAGAAAATCCATTCTAGATGTAACAAATGGTTTAATTTTCTAGAAAAATATATTATAAGGAAAGATTTTCAAGTGTTTTATATTTTGATGAAATATCTGATGTTTTTCGTAAATATTTAGGAAATACATGAAGCAACATATTTTAAAGCGTTAATCTGACATGTACGTACATATTAGCCATTTTATTCTTGAAAATGCTTCATTGGTTATTTTATCAAAATCTGTAACAATACTTTTCAAAATTGGGTTTATAAAGAAAATCCATTCTAGATGTAACAAATGGTTTAATTTTCTAGAAAAATATCATTAAAAAATATTTTATTTATATTATTTCTGCAACTTGAAAATCCATTCCCCTGAATAAAAAACTTACTAATTATGAAGTATTATTGCATACATAATCTGCTTTCTAGAGTTTTTGTTTGAGGGATACTTTCCTGAACTGCTGTAGAAAGTGTATATTATATGGGAATATGAAATGTAGTAGAACAATATGGGTGCTAAGCACTGCAGAATTACTCCGAGTAACTCGTAGCTCTATAATGCACTTAAAAAGACTGGGCATATACTTCTTATGAGAGTTCGAGATTTGGTAATTTTGATGAAAATTGGGGATGTTTTAGATGTCTGGATACATGGGCACAACTTGATTTTTAGACCAGCTTTCAAAAAATGGACCACTTATTGAGTTTGCTGAAATTTGACTTTTTTCGCATTAATAGGGTGTTAATTTAGCTATAGCTACTTTGGGATGCTATAATTCAAGATACACAAAATATAGTCTTTTCGATTGCTAACATTTGTGAAACGTTACTGTTGAACGTAGAATTTTATAATAATTATAGTTATAGCTGATTTGCTCCCTACTAAGACAAAAATACCGCTGCCAACTGTCAATAAAATCACTTGTTAAATGATAACTGAGATATTTAAAAAAATAATTTTTGATGTATCTCATTCAAGATCTGAGTGTGGTGACTTTTCATTGGCATGTTGTGAATATAATTTACCTGTAAATTTTCAGATAAGAAGTATGCTGATCCTTTTATATTTTATCGTAAATAACTGTCACACTTCAAGGCTAGTTATTTATGGTCTTATAAATACATTTTATACTCAACTGACCCAATAACGATTACTAGTCAGATAAATTAAGCTAAGTGATTATCGGCTTATTACCCTCTTCCAC